TCAGTGAAGTAGTTCTGCTGATCTCATTTGGAATTGCTAATGTAAAGTTATCTGGAAGGTTGACTGGTGCTGGTGCTGGATGGTCTGACTGGCTGTCTGTGCTAATTATTATTAGCTGGCTCTTACTCTCCACATGGTCTCTGGGTTCCAAGAGGTCAAGTGCTACTGCACAGGTGCTTATTAAGCCTCTGCTTGCATTATGTTTGCTGATGTTCCATTGGCTAAAGCAAGTCACATAACCAGTCCCAGAGTCAGTGCTGGAGGGGAATACACAATGGCCTAGATACCAGAAAGCATGATTTATTTGAAGACACTAACATACCAGTCTGGTCTACCTCAGAGACCAAAATGCATCCACCTAAATTCCATACAGTAAGGCTTCTAAGTGCTGCCTTTGTCTCTGAATTGCTCTTGTTGACTATCTGCCAGAATTTATTCAGTCCTTTAGTCCTGTTTCATCTTGTATAGGCAGTTCCACTTATTACTACTTTTATCTACTCTTTCAGCATTTCTGCTAGTGCCCAAGTAGGAACAGGATGTATATCAGGTTGAAATTTCTAAGACTATATTGTGACTAAAAATGGGCCCCAAGGATAATTACTATCTACTGATGGCAAGAAAATGTTGCTTAAAAGTTGTATTGCAAAGTTAAGAATACTTTTTAAATTTAGAGACAGAGGTGGTTCCTTTGCCCACAGTTCCTTAATTTACTTTTGTGTTTCCTCTCCTTGTCTGACTTTTTGAGGAACTAATGGAGTATCCGGTGTGTGTGTTTAGTTTTAAGTTCTGTCTGTAGTTTCTCAGGACAGTGGGGAAATGAAATAATACCTTTAAATGATTTGTTGAGAAGTTCTTGGATGATTTTTCTTTCTTTCTGTTTGAGGTTGGTGAGTTCATGGTTAGTGAAATAATGAGTTACTATTTTTAATAATAAACCCTAAACTAAAACAATCTTTGAAAGTAAGAATAGTTTTTAAGAGCTGAAAGTCACTTCTGATACAGAGGAGGCAAATCAGATATAAAGAGTTCAAATAATTAACTCATGATTACACAGCTAATAAGTAACAGACTTGATACCTGTGTCACAAGGAACATCAACAGGTAAGATTGGCTCTGAAATCTGGCTTCAACATGTGTTAGTAGGCATTTCTAAATATTGTTCATCTTTTCTTATTTGTAAAATGGTGATGATGTCCTCTACCTGTTAAGGAAGTTTCTGGCTTTTGAGTTCAGTGCTTTTTCTCTGTATTACATACACTGCCTTGTCTTTTATGGTTAATGCCTGCCAGTTTAATGATACCACAAAATGACAAATCAGAATAGTGATTTTTTTTTTTTGTCTTATGTTTCAGAAACTTAACCTCTTATTTCTCTCTACACCCTGTACTTCCTTCCCATTTACGCTCCCCCCCTTTTTTTTCTTTCATTCCCTACTCCCCTTTACCTGTTTTATTCCCTAGTGCTAATGGCATGTATTTCTTTTTCACATGTCATATTGCCTAATAAAGTGCTGAAACTTGTAGGTTTCCTGCTACCTAATGACTTACAATATTTTTCTTTATTTTCATCTAGCATTTTTATATAATAATTTCTGGCTTCTTGAGATCATGTGCTCTTTTTTCCTCCTTCCTCAGGCCAACTAGCCTCATGCAACTAAATCTTTATATTATCAGAAACTGACATCTTAGGAACTTAAGAATAAGATCTGGCAATAACACTGCAAGTTCTTTTCAGCTTACAAGTGGCTTATTTATGTAACTAGTCAGAGAAGTGTTTTCCTCTCATAGGACAAGAACCATTCGACTCTTTAGTGACAGTGAGTATCATGCTATATCAGATATCGAGTAGGAGGAAGAGGATATTTATTTCTGGAGTGTTGGACCTATAAGGATTCTCTTTTGGAACGCCACCTGTTATGGAGAAGATGTATTTCCAGTGATCTGAGTTGTTAGTCATAAATAGGACAGGTGGATTCCTACAGTTTTTAAAAGCATTGTTAGTTAAATAGACTGGTTGAGGGAGCATGGAAATCAAATCATCATTTAAACACATTGTCAGTGTGGCTATATGTAGAATGAGGGAATGAATTGGTCAACGTCTAAACTTCTAAGTAAAATTTGTTTTAGAACTCTCTTAAATTTGGTACTTAGTTTATATTATATGAACACATAATATATACATCTACATAAATATTCAAAAATTACATTTAAAACTAGAAATTAAGGGAGTTGTAGAATAGAGGTCCTTACCAACACTCTACCAGTGAGTTTCTGAATGGTAGGTAAATGCTCTTAAAATCGTATGGCAGAGCTGGGGATATAGCTCACTGGTAGAGCACTAGCTTAGAATGTACAAGGCCCTGAGTTTGGTTCCCAGCACCAAAAAAAAAAAAAAAAAAAATTATATGTGAGATATTATCTGTTCTTTTTTGTGGAGAAAGGACTACAAAGATAGCATAGCTACAAAAATTCTTAAAAGCAGCAGGGAGTGGTTTCCCAAAGGTAAGCACTTCAACAGATATATAGATCTATATCTATGTGTACGTTATTATTTTTTCAAAGTATCAAGCTATTATGCATCGCCTTTAAATTTATTTATCTGATGTGGAATCAGTGGTAATTGGAACTATTATAATCATCATTTGTGGCATACAATATTGAATACTTTGTCATAATTTTGTATCCTACCTATTCCTGGTATTTTATTATTTTGCTAGGAATTCCATATTATCCAAAAAAACCAAAAATAAAACCCAAGACTTGTATGATTTAGCTCTTTTTTTTTGGGTGGGTGGATACCAGGGATTGAACTCAGGGCCACTTAAGCACTGAGCCACATCTCCAGCCCTATTTTGTATTTTATTTAGAGACAGGGTCTCACTGAGTTGCTTAGCACTTTGTTTTTGCTGAGGCTGGCTTTGAACTTGTGGTCATGCTGCCTCAGCCTCCCAAGGTGCTGGGATTATAGGCCTGTGCCACTGTGCCCAGCTGATTTAGCTCTTAACATAAATTCATTTAACAGTATAAGGAATATATGGATATTTCAATCAATGCCTGAATTTCATACTTGGCTCTTAATTCAGTAGTAGGAAAATTTCTGTTTTCTCATTATTTCTACCTAAAATTTCACAAAAAAAGAAAAAAAGCTTTATCTTCCTAGTGCTATTTACTACGAGATTTGAATGAATTATAAATGCTGTGTATTCACATAAAGATTTTAATTGTCACATGAGATTTCCTCCCAAACTTTATTTTAAAGATTGGAAAAATTTATACTGACTAGGGTCCATTTATTAATTTTAAAATATTACATTTTAAAACTTTCATGTGTTAATAGATATAGCTTATAAATATTCAAAAGGTATCCTCTGTATAGTAGTATTCATACAGTTGCCACTATAATAAATCTAGTTGTGTATTTTAATATTTTTCTTAAAATTGCACATAAGTAGGTGGTCTTTAGAGCTTGAGTTTCAACTCATAAATGGGAAGATAAGCTTATCAAAAACTGTAATATGATTAAAAAGTTTTAATAACAGCTTTATTAAGATATAACTCACGAGCCTTAAAATTTACCCTTTTAATATATATATCACATTTACAACTTGTTTTTCAGTGATTCAGAAAAGGAATCATACATATATAGCAGAAAGAAAGGGGGAGAGAAACATGGTAAAATATTAATATTTAGGGAATTTGGGTAATGAATATGAAAATTTTTGTACTGATCTTGCAACTTTTTTTCTCCAAGTTTGTAATTATTTTTTTTTAAGTTGGACACAATATCTTTGTTTAATTTATTTATTTTTATATGGTACTGAGGATCGAACCCAGGGTCTCACATGTGCTAGGCAAGTGCTCTACTGTTGAGCCACAATCCTAGCCACTAAGTTTGTAATTATTTAAAAATAAAATATTTTAAAATGAAAATAAAAGTATACAATGTAGTGGGTTTTATTATACTTATAAAGTTGTATAGTCACCACTATTTACTTCTAGAAAAGTATTTTAAGCATACGTTCTGTATTTATTTTTATATACTTTTTACTTAATATACAATAATTGATGTATCTGGCATCAGAATTTCTTTACCATTTTCTTAAAGTTTTCAAATGTTGAACTAAAAGACCAAAGTATGTCATAAGTGCAAAGATGAAGTATAATTAAGACACGTAAAGTGAAAATTTTTATTTGAAAAAAATGAAAGAAAGTGAGCTGCTTTTAACTTTAGTACGTGTCCTTTGTTGAAGCTTTTGAGTAGAATCTTAGAATAAATTGTTAGTCATATGCAAAACTGTGTCTACTTCTTAAAACTTGAATTGAGGAAGGAAATGCTTTATACCACCATGGCAAATACTTTATTATAATAAGAACATTTCTTGTTTCTTCCTCTCATATTACTTTGTTCATTGCGTTGGGTTTTTCCTGAGATAGAAACTCTTTAGGGAACTGCTTTGATTTTTGTATGTATTGAAGCAGTGGAGTTTCAGTAAAGTAAGTTTTTAACAATAGCATAGTTTTCACTTTTGTTAGTGATATATATTGTTTTTCCTTTTCACTTAATTGGTACTTATAATCTATTACTATATGCAGCTATATCTGCTCAAAATTGACCTGAACACATAGTTCACATATAGTACTGAATAGATGGGAAGATTAGTTTGCACTGCCATTTTACATCGCTTTTTATACTGAATGTACTATGGGTAAGAGTGTCAATCTGAGTAACTACAAAATGCAATTGCATGTAAATACAACTGAGTTTTTGTCAAGTCAGGAGATTGGACAGAAAGACCCAGAGAAGGATCTGAGAAGGGGCAAGGAGGAGTGGGACGCTTCTTCATTCTTTAGACATAGGAAGCTTTATAAAAACATACTGTTTTATATCATAGGTGCAAATAACTCTAAAATGTTTTCTATAAAGTATTTTATATGACAGTGCTAATGAATCTTAGGATCATGCAACATATGTTATCTCATTGTTTTACTTATTTTTTATAGGAAAAGTAGCCATCAAAAAAGAAGACTTGTGTAATCATAGTGGCAAAGAAACTTGGTTTTCACTACAGCCTGTTGATTCCAATTCAGAGGTTCAGGTAAATATTAAGTCTTAAGAAATGCAAGAGATTGTCACACATAGAAAATAAGTGCAAATGAAATGGATTATGCTGGCTCATTTAGTTAGAGTTTGTGATACTTTATTGTAAATTCTAACACCAGATATTACAGACCTTTGAGTAATATAGAGCTGTGGGGAAGGTAGAGCTGAAAGGAAATGGCTGTGGCATGTTTATTCAAAAATAATGCACAAGTGTATGCAAATGTGTGGGTTCAGGGAGATTATGTTAGGGAGCACATATTTTTTTTCCTGCCTTAGTTCTGCTGTTCACGTAAACAGAAGCAAAGTATTAATTTTTTTTAAAGAAGAGGAAAGTTATGCTTTATTAACTCTGACCTTGGAAGTCTGTGATTTTATTTATTCTCATCGGGATACTCTGTTCACTCTCTAATAAACTAGACTCGGGGAAAATGTTATTCATTTTAACTATGCCTGAGCCCACCATGTAGAGCCTTCATTCCCATACCCACCCTTCCTGTTGTTCACCTCTTTTTTTATTTGAAAGGGTATCATTACTCCTTTTAATCCCTTCTTTTGTTTTGTCAAAATAAGAGGGCTTTTGCAGATTCTATACGAGTAGAGATCTATCTTTTAACCACATAGCTGAAGTTTCTATTTCCTTCTGGAAAATTTGAGTTGCTCTGTCTTAGAAATTGTTATTTCTATCTAAAGGGAAAATTTTGTAAACCTATTTATTTATAAAATATGGTAAGGATTGTGAAATCATTTCCCGAGGGCATAACTGCAAACAGGATTCATCTTCTCTAGAAGAAGTTATAATTTGCCACTGTGACTCAAACAAAGTTTTAAGACAAGAAAAAAGTGCTGCATGCACACCCACAGATAATTTGCAAATAAAGTGCCTGTGCTCTATTTCCTCATAACCTTTCAAGCATTCTCTGATTAGATTCTCAAAAAAACTAAGCATTTGTGTACAAAACCCCTGCTTAAATACAGAATACAACTGACTCTTCCCCGGTTTTATCTACTCTACCTCATTTTAATACTCTTTTCTTTCCATTTGACTATAAGTATTATCCACATACCAATTATACAGGGATGTTAATGATCCAGGTGAGAATCAATATGAGTAAGTGGAAATGGCTTAAATTAGAAGTCAGAAAATTTAGGTTCTAGTGTTTATATGTGGTTACTTTAATGATGTTGAAATTAATTTCTGTAAAATGGGAAAAGTCATCATGTTTGACTTATATGGTTTTAAGAATTAAGTGGAAGAGTACTTTAAAAACTGTAAATTGCTATACAAATATAAAATATGTTACCATCAATCTGGTGGCTATTATATAATGTGCCTTTACAGAAAGCATATTTTCATATATGAAAATTTTATATTAAAATACCAGCTTTTACTTTTAGTTTTTCATATCCAATTTAACACCTTTTTCATAGACAACCCACCATTATACACTTTTGGTATAATGTAAATTTTTCTAATAGTTTTAACAGAAGACTAGAAGTGGCTTTGAAAATTTTGACTGAAATGATATTTGAGGATTATTTTAAGATTTAGTTCAATAAGTGTTGTTTTAACCAGTATAAATTTTCTAAAGGATTTAGGGCTCCAGTTCTGAAAAAGTAGAAATCTCTATAGTATAACTCTTAGAGATAGTTATTAGAGGTTAATACTGGGACATGGTTATATATATAAAACTCATCTCTGAAACATAAAGATTCTAGAAGCAACATTTACCTATTAGATATCATATTCACATTTTAAATTTGCTACAGGTTATTTTCATGACTATGGGTTGCTAACCTTTGCTGTCATTTTTGTCTTAAATGATAATTAGCTAGTAAGAGTTACCTGCTATTTAAAATAGATTTTAGAAGGAAGAGTATGTTAGGAAGTAGAAGGGATGCATAATACTTTTCATATTAATATGGTGCCATTGGGAATATTATTGTGCTGGCCAAAAACTGAACTGGGAATACTGAAGTTAACTTTGTGAGTCTAGAAAAGATAGAAAAGTAGCCCTTGATTAATACAGATCCCAGTTGTTGGTTGTTTTGTTTTAAGTTTGCTTGCTTATGTAAACTTTACAAAAAAATATTTGGAAGAAGTAAGAGCAATTGATGAGGACAGTAGGAGAAAGCTATGAGATAGACTGAGTTTGGCAAGGATTCTAATAATTACTTTTATATAACTATATCATTATATACCAAACATGGTACCAAGTATTTAATATATGTTATCTCATTTAATCTTTACAGTAACATTATGAGGTAGGTAATAATACCTCCATTTTACAGATAAGGTAAATGGAATTCACAGAGATTAAAATGACTTCTCTACAGTCACAGAACTACTAAATGATGAAGCTGTGATTTCAACAGAGATCTGTCTGATTCTAATACTCCTAACTACAGTCTTTCTGACCTTTTAATACTCTGTACTGTTAGTCATAAAAAGTCTTTAGCAGATTAGGAGAGTTACTTAGGTAGCATCTAAAAATAGAATAGAAGCCTACTCAAATTAGCTCAAATAAGCATTGTACAGTGGTGTGTTCTGGTAATCACAGCTACTTGGGAGGCTAATGTAGGAGGATCACAAGTTTGAGGCTCAGCCTGGGCAATAGTGAGTCCCGTTCTTAAAATAAAATTTGAAAAAGAGCTGGTGATCTAGCTCAGTGGTAAGAGGGCCCCATGATTGGCATTCAGTCCCCAGGACTTAAAAAGTAATTAGCTCAGAGAAAAAGGGAAGGGGCATTGGGAAGTTCCTAGGGAGTTTTTCTGTTTTGGGTTTTTGTTTATTTGTTTGTTTTGCCATGGTCTGAATCCAGTTCTTTCTCTCTTTTTCTTTTTTTAAAATTTGTTCTTTTTAGATATACATGACAGTAGAATGTATTTTAACATATTACACATACATGGAATATAACTTCCCATTCTTATGGTTGTAATGGTATGAAGTTACAGTGGTTGTGTATTCATATATGAACATAGGAAAGTAATAGCCTATGCATTCTACTATCTTTCCTATTCCCATCCCTGTCTTTCCCCTTTGTCTAATCCAAGGAACTTCCATTCTCCCCACATTATGTGTTAGCATCTACATATCAGAGAGAACATTTGGCCTTTGGGTTTTTTTTGAGGGGGGGATTGGATTATCTCATTTAGCATGATAGTCTCCAGTTCCATCCATTTATCGGCAAATGCCATAACTCCATTCTTCTTTATGGCTGAGTAATATTCCCTGTGTGTATGTATATATATATGTGTGTATGTATATATATATATATATATATATATATATATATATATATGTATATATATATATATATATGTGTGTGTGTATATATATATATATGTGTATATATATATATATATATGTGTGTGTGTGTGTGTTTTCTATACATTTATATATACACACACACATTTTATTTATCTAACTGTTAAAGGGCACCTAGGTTAATTCCATAGCATAGCTATTGTGAATTAAGCTGCTATAAACATTGATGTGGCCATGTCACTATAGTATGCTGATTTTAAGTCCTTTGGTTATATGCCAAAGAGTGGGATAACTGGGTCAAATGGGAGTTCCATTCTAAGTTTTCTGAGGAATCTCCTAGTGAGCTTCTTGAAATGTAATTATAGGAATGTCACTATGGCTACCTTGAGTAAGAGAGTTATCAAGCATTTGCAGAGAGGCTGTATCTTAAGTGGAGGTTAGGTTATGACAATAGCAGAATAGAAAAAATTGATATAAATTAAAATTGTTTTTGAAAAGACTTTAATTTCTCATAAAGTATACTAGAGTGGTTTGGTTTTTACTTTCACGTGTGTTTACACGTGAACACAACATCTATTTTGTTTGTTTATTTTTATGTGGTACTGAGGATCTAACCCAGTGCCCCACAGGTAGGGAGCAAGCACTCTGCCACTGAGCTACAACCCCAGCCCCTCCTTTGATTTTGAAGAGTGAATAGTTAATGTTTTCTCTTTCTAATGAAAAGGAAAGGGAAAAACATCAAGATTCCATTGTATTCTTGTATATCCATTGAGACTATATGTCTGTTCCGCTGCTTCTCTGTAAATCTATTCTCCTGTTTATAGATTTAATCCATGTGACCATATAGCCTCCTAACTCTTGAAGATCAGATTTAGCAATTCATAGAATTGGACAGATTTGGGTCAGATGTCCACTGAAGTCTAATTTGATATGGTTAGAGGAAAAGCATTGGAGGGCAATACATTTTAGGGCTTTGCTCCTTAAGAAAGTGGTTTGGGTCCGGCATGGTGGCTACACCTGCAATCCCTATGAATTGGGAGGCTGAGACAGACGGATCACAAGATTTAGGTCAGCCACAGCAATTTAGCAAGACCCTGAGCAACTTAGTGAGACCTGTCTCAAAAAATTAAGGGTTGGAAATGTAGCTTAGTAGTAAAGCATCTCTGGGTTCAGATCCTCAGTACACCCTCCCCCCAAAAAAAGGAGGGTTTGGGTGGAGGAAATGATTGGCATCTCTACCTCAGAAGGGGGAGATGTTTGATCTTCTAGCTTTGCCACTCATTGGCATTTGTACCCAGAATACTTGCTAACTTATTGCCTGAGGATCATATTTGAAATGAAAGTTTTAGTATAAAGGATTCTATTTTTTGCGAAGTTCTAGGAAAGTAGCATGTAGAAACATAATTTAGCCTTCAAATGAAAATATCCTCATAGTAGTAAGGTGGGTTTTATTACAAAATAGTTGAAAAATTAAGAATTTAACGTCTACCTTGAATTTCACTTAGATGCTTTATAACTCTAATGTTAATAATTATTTTCCATTTTATTTTCAAATGAATGGTAGTGTTTCATGAGTGAATTTTTCTGCTTAAACAATGTCTTTTCTTGACTTGATTCTTCTACCTTTTATAGTTTTCCCCTCTGGGTTGAACCATTTTCTTCATGCTGCTCTGTTTTGCCTTCAGACTCCACAGTGATTAGAGGGAAAGCACAAATGGCTCTCATTATCT